ATAAATGATTTTTCTCTCGACTTTCTCCATCTCCAAATGGGAATCGAGACCCAGATCTTCCTATTGTCTTCGTCGATGACCAGCCTTGTCTTCCTCATCTCTTGAGCACTTATCAAAACAGTCGTCTTCCTCTATCTCGCCACCACTTTTCAAACCTCGAAGTCTCCAATTCCCCTTTTCTCTGCAAATCTTTCAAGTTTGAGATCTCGAAAGTTTCAGAAATGAGTAATGATAAGGACAATATCAACTTCGATGATCTCACTGCTGGTAATTTACTTCTCTAATTTGTTCTGGTGTCTTTTCTGCGGCTTTTGTCTCTGATTTGTTTTATTGATTTGCAGCTCTTAAGGGTGAGGATCGAGCAGGTCTTGTGAACGCTATTAAGGTGAGTTTCTTAAGGGTGGGGATATGTTATTATCTAAAGTTTTTGTTAACTGTATTGTGTTGTACTTGAAGAAGAAGAAGAATATGGGATTTGAGGGTTTAAAATTATGAGGTTACTATTAGGTTCCTATGACATTTATGTGTTTAGAAAAGTAGATTCGTGCTATGCTTATTGTTTCTCTGAAGATTGCTGTAATTGTTTTGTCTTTTGTGTTTGGTTCACAGAACAAGCTGCAGAATCTGGCAGATCCTTATTCTGATGTGCTCGAGAATTTGACTCATAAAATCAGAAGGCGTGTTGAGGTCTTGCCAGAGATTCAGGTTAGAAAGAATTGCCATTTACATTTTTTCGAGTTTGATGTTCATGGTATTGTGTTTACTCCATTGCATGTACAAGCTTTTGTCAACAGGTTGTGTTTATTGATATGTAAACTGTCTTTTCTGTACAGGTTATGCGGCTGCCAAGAATGAGTTACTTGTTAAGCATCTTGAATCTTACTAAATCAACAAAGTCAAGTTTCTTATGCTTTCATCCCAAAAGAAACAGATTTCTTATATTTAATACTTAGAGCATAATTATAGGTAGTAAATATGTTGGGGGTAATATATGAATTTTATAATATTAATTGTATTGGGATTAATGA